TTTTATTCTATTTTATATTATATTATATATATATTTATATTATATCGTTTTATATATTATATTATATATAATATAATATATTTTATATAATTATTATATATATATTTAATTTTAAAAAAGTAACAATATGTTTAATATAAAAAGAATATTTTCATCTTAATTTAAGATATACTTCTTAAAAAGAGAAAACATTTAATTTTTAAAGTTTAGATTTTAAATGTTGCATCAATTTTTCTAATTTCATTGCTTTTTGAAGATTTCCACTAATTTTCAATTTTCCCATTACAAATGCTGATGCAGGTTTTAATTTTCCTAAACATAATTTATTATTGGAAAAAGTTATTTTAAATTATTTTTTAATATTAAATTAAATATATATTTAATTAAAATTATATTTACCAGAAAACATAGCAAAAAAGTTTTCAGAATCCATTGTCAAAGTAACATCTGGTGATTGATTAGGTTTTCCTTTACCTGCTACACCATCTCCAGTTTTTAAATCCAAAAACCATGTACCTGCTTCATTACCTATTAAATTATATCAATTAATATTTCTAAAATAAATAAAAAAAGAAATAAATATTTAATCTGACAAATACCTTTAACATTAAATTGAAATATGGCTCCAATTTTATTAACAAGTTCATGATTCAAGTTAGCTTGAATAACAGTAAATATTTGTGCAATTTTTTCATTTGATTTATTATTTACATCACATATATCTTTTTGAAAGATTTTATTCAATACATCTATTTTATCTGAACTTTCTATAAATAAATCCAGTATTAAATTATCTTTATTTTCTAAAAAAAATAAGAAAATAAACAATTATCATCATTTTTTTTTATAAAATATCAATTATTATAAAATTATTATATTGCATTTAATATACCTGGATTATATGCATAATCTGTGAAATCTGTAATTCCTTCATTTCTTAATATTTCCTCATCAATTAAAAATTTTCCAGTAATAGATTTACTATCTTTACAAATTAAAGCATACACAGCATCTGCCATTATTTCTGGTTTACGAGCATAATCATTTGAGTTTTCAGATAACATTTCAAATGCAGCAGTAACAATAGCTAAAAAATAATAAACTTAAATTTATAACAATAAATAAAGATTTCAAAATAATTTTTTTAAATAATCAATATAATCAATTAAATAATCAAAATAAAATATAATAAAAATAATATAATTAAAAAATAATTTACCAGTTTTTGGCCAAACAGTATTTACAGCAATACCATCATTTTTAAATTCCTCAGCCATTCCAAGAGCACACATTGACATTCCATATTTAGATATTGTATATGCAACATGATTTTTAAACCATATTGGTTTCATATCTAATGGTGGGCTAATATTTACTATATGAGGATTTGAGCTTTTTTTTAAATAAGGTAGACATGTTTTAGATCTTAAAATAAATATCAACAATAAATAACAATAATATTATTATTTATGATTTGCACAATTTTGAGAACATTTTTATACTTACACTAGAAATGTTCCTCTAGTATTGATATTATTTACAAGATCATATTTTTTCATTTCTGTAGATAATGTATCTATCAAATGAATTGCACTTGCATTATTAATAACAATATCAATACCACCAAATTTGCTAACAGCATTTTCCACTGCAGAAATTACATTTGTTTCAAATCTTACATCTACTATGCAAGGTAATGCTTTTCCACCCATTTCTTCAACTAAAAGAAATATTTTTTGATAAAAAAAAATTACTTATTATTTAAAATTTAAAATAAATAATTAAATAATTAATAATAATAAATAATAAATAATTAAATAATTATTTAGAATTTTTTATTACATGTATAATTATATTACATATATAATTACTTTCTTTAGCAGCAGTATATATAGTGCCTGATAATTTTGGATGTGGTTCAGTAGTTTTAGCTGCAATGACAATATTTGCTCCATCTTTTGCAGCTTTCAAAGCAATGGATTTCCCAATTCCTCTTGAAGCTCCAGTAATGAAAATTGTTCGACCAGCAAGTTTTCTATATTAAGTATGACATTATTATTATAAAGTTATAATCATCAACATAACTGATTAAAAAATTTA